CCTCCCTGTCCCAGCCGTTCCTGCTGGCAGTGTCCGTGGCAGTGCCCTCACCACCACCCCTCCGTGCCCCCCGGTGCCGGGTACAATGGGCAGAGGCGCCCGGCCCGCGCCTCCCCTGGGTGGGAAACGGAGGATCTGCGGCTCCAGCGCTGTCAGCACCAGGCCAAAGTCAACTTTATATTAAAAAAATTGAGTCCAAACAATACAAACCCCGTAATCGCGCACAGTTGTTGGCTTTTGGGGTTGGGGTTGGGGTTTTTCTCCCCCCTCTTCCAAACCAGAACATGTGACTGTGACAAGGCAGGGATAACACAGCTCCAGAACTATCAAAGAAGTTACCAAAAATCCAGCTGTTCCAGAGATGATGATGGAACAGCCCATAGCAAGGAGAATTTTAAAAAATTGAAGAAAAAAAGCTGTTTTAAAGCTCCACATTGTTCGTGCCCAAGTTGCAGGCGGCAGTAATTGAATACAGTGTTAACTGGGCACTGAAGCTTGTGTTTGTGACTCCTCCTGGCCAGCCCTGGACCTCAGCATTCCCTTAATCCTCTGCCATCCAAAGGAGCCCTTCTTTCCCCCCCAGCCTGTCCTGCTTCCCGCGCTGCATCCTGATGTGCCAGAGCTTGGAGAGCTGCCCGAGCGACTCATTAGCAGGACTCATTTCCCTGTGTCCAAGATTAATGAGGCACAGCCACTCCAGATGCTCATCTCAGGCCAGGATGGAAATGTGAGTCCCAGGAACTGCTCTGGGAGGGGAGGGGGCTGCTCCCAGCTGGTGGTCTGGCGGGGACAGGCGAGGATTTCTCCTCTCATCCCACCTGGAAGCTGGGAATGAGTGAGCGAGATCTGAGCATGTCCTCAAAGAGGAAAAGGAAGGAGAGTCATGATGGAAGAGCCCAGCTTCCAGAGTGATCCAAAGCCTCTGGCCCAAGCACTCTCCCAGGTCTCCTTCCAGGGTTATTTTGTAGGCAAGAGCTCCCTGCTTCCCTCTCTGTCCTCCTCCCACTCCAGTCTGCAAATCACCCTTCCAGAGAAGTGGAATTTTGGCTGGGAATGCTGCCCTAGCCCCTGCCTGTAATTAAGGAGAAGGGTTTGTTACCACTGGGCCATTAGCAGGATTTTCCTTGGGGAAAGTTCCCAAGCGTTGATTCCTGCTCATATGGGACAACAACAGTTTGCTGTGTTAATTACAGCTGGTGTTCCCAGGGAACATCCAAACTATCCCAAGCACTGCATCCTCTGCAAAGGTGTTGCATCCCGAGGATGCTGCTCCATCCCTGCTCCTTTATTGTCCCAAAATTTAGCTGGGATGGTTCAACAGACAATGCCAGTTTTTGCAACGTATTGGCAGCAACTAGACTGGCCCTGAAGTGGCCAAATTACTTTAAAAATTAGTATATTATTTTGTGCAGACATAATAAGGACACAGAAAGACTCTGGAAAAGCTGTTTGGTGGGGAATGCTATCCAGGAGGCAGGGGGAAGAGTGCAGGCAGGAAGGAGCTCCATTTGGCACAGAATTCCCTGTGAAAGGGCCATTCCTCTGACTGCTGCTTCCAGATCCTGCTGGAAGTGCAAGCAGACAAGTAGCTTAATTAGCTATTGGAAATCCAGTTCATGTTGTATCTTTTTAATGTCTTTTATGATGGGGTATTTCATCCCACCTGCAAAATTCTGATGCAGACAAATAGCCTGTCCTCTTCCTCCTCCTCCTCTTCCTCCCTTATAAATTGGGTGTCTGAAGTTGGCTCCTTTCCTGGGCAGCAAAACTCCGTGTGCTTTCTCAGAGCCATCCAGCCAGTCCTCTGAGCTAAAAATGCAGGAAGAGGGCACCAAAATGGAGCTATTTGGAGTTCAGGTTACTTATATTTACTTGGCCAGGCTGGAGATCTGCCAAAAGCAAAACCAGAAAGAATGGAAGGAACACTGATTGCAACCCAACCCGCTTCCTGAAGAATCCATAGAGGGCAAGGATGGAAAACAGGGAGCTTTCCTTGTTGATCTAAACAGGGAATAAATTTCCTCCTGTCCTAAATTCTCACATGTCCTTTACAATAAGATAAAGCAGGATGTTTGGGGTAAGCTCAGAGATACCAGAAGCTTGAGCATCCCAGGGAATTTGCTGCTGGCCCGTGACAGGATCCCTGCGGATGCATGACGGGAGGATGGCCGGGGTCTCCTGGAGATCTGCCCACATCAGCATGATCCCACTGGAGTGGGACAGGCTGTTGGACCATCAGGTCTTTGCTGTCTCTATTTGTGAGCAGTTTCCATCCTGCAGAGCTGTGGGAATTCCTGCTGCAACATCCAGAAGATCTGCAGCCCAGCCTGGCAAGGGCTGACTGGGACCAGGGCTCCGGTGCTTCCCTCTGGGGAGGCGGGTGCCCTGGAAAGGAAAGGGGAAAGGGAAGTAGTTTCTGGATGAGCACACCTCCTCTGCCCTCTCTGGTGGTATCACCAGCTCCTTGCAGCCTCTCACTCCATATTTCCATTAAGTTCCTGGGAATATCCTTTTCTGTGACCTCAACCCTCTGCTAGACTTCCCTGATGGGAATCGACACAAACATTTTGTATGGAAAACGTGCAGATCCATGCAGAGTCCGCTTGTGCAAGCTGTGTTTCCTCAGGAGAGCAGGATGAGCCCGAGCTCCATGCTGCCAAGCTCTGGGAATCTCTTATTCCAGCTGCCCTTTCCACCTGTGGGTCACTGCAGCCCAAAGCTGGAGCCGGGACAGCCCCAGTGACACCCACAGTTTCTGCTAGAGAATCCAGTGTAGCATCCCTCCTTACCAGGCTGCACGTGTCCCCAGGTGGGAGCTGTGGATGTGACTGGGATCTGGGAAGCAGCGTGGGAGAGAGTTGGAGCTGGGAGGGAGACGGGCAGGAAATGCTGTGAGTAAATCAGCCGAGCTCGCCTGAGTCATGACTAACGGGGAGCGTGATACGTCTGCAAATATTAGAAATGTGTAAACAGAGAGGAGGGAGAGGGATGGTGTCTGGAATGATTGAAGGGAGTGAACTTTTGGATGGAAAAATGTAGGTCAAGTATGAAGGAAAACTTGTAGGCAGCGAGATAAGTGCTGTAAAACAACCTCCTTGGGAAACACAAGGAAGTCCCACTGATGGAGATGTTTATCCTAAGCCAGACAAGGCCTGGAAAACAGGCTAAGCTGGAGGGATGGACTTGGGGTGTCTGTCCCAGATGGGGCTGGGTGTAGGGATGCAGACTGAGAGCTTGAAATATTCCCTCCCACTTGTGTCCTCACACTCTGGTTCCTTCTCTGGAGCCGTTCCACTGTGTCCCAGTAATTAACATCCAGTGGGACAGGGAGAAGAAGCAGGACCACAGCTGCGTTGCCACATCCCAGAGGAAAACCCTGGCCACGGAGATTGGGACTGCTCTGAAATGCTCACTCCCTGGATCATGTCCTGGTTCCCATTAAACTTTCTGTGATGAAAGTTTCACCAAAACTAACACGCTTCCGTGAAAACTCTGGTTTTCATGATTTGGCATTTTCCAGGGGAAAAAGAAACTAAAATAACTTGCCAAGAATTTCCCAACCGGCTTTAATCCTGAGGCACCACCATGATCCAAACAAATGATGATAAGGATCTGTGGAAAACATGGGGAAACAAAGAATTGATGGTTTCAAAGCCTCCAGAAAATGAAAATGCCACTGAAAAGAGGAGCACGGGGTTTCTCCAAGCACGCCGAGGAGGGAAGCTCGTTCCCTTTGAATCACAGGGTGTCCTTTCCAGCTGGTTTCAAAGGAAGTTGGATGTGGTCATGGAATGACCCTAGTGCTGTCACTGATGCCCAGATGAGTTCTTAGATGAGCTGGAAGCACCACGGAGGGGGTGCCCTTCCCAGGGGTGCCGTGGCTTCCTTGCAGCCTGAGGAATGATGCTCACCGGGAGAAACAGGAGCTCTCCCTCCCTCCCTGCTGCAGCCAGTGGAGACAAACAGCTTCCACCATACCTGATGCTGGGGAGATGAGGGGGATTCAGGAATGTGCCTAATGCTGGGGAGATAAGGGGGATGCAGGCAAAGCCATCTGGGCTGTGCTCGGCCAGCTGGGAGGGTCACGAGCACACACAGGGTGGAAGGGAAGAGGGAAACCAGAGACAGACAGGCTGGAGAGGCGGGGGACATGGCACAGCCTTGCAGTCACAGGTGAACCCCCAGGTTGCTCTTCCATATGGAAGTGTTGCCAGGCACAACCTGAAGCATCAGGAAGGTGAGCGGAGCACACAGGGACATCTGTACCGCTGTTTGATACATCCCAGAGTCAGAACATCCCTGTAGAATGAGTGGGTTCCAAAAGAAATGGCACAGCAGGAAGTTCCACATGTCTGGGAACTGAGAATCTCCCCCATGGCCAGGTGGGGAAGGTGAGGAAAATGTTATTTGGTGGCAGAGAGAGAGGCAGGAGGTCTTGAGGTGCAGCGGCTGCATGTGCTGCATCCCAGCAGTGCCAACTGCTTCTGGCCAGCAGCCTTTCCAGCAGGAAATTTCCAGGAAAGACCAGCCCACGGTCTGTTTTGCTGTCCCATGTCCCACATCCAGAGCTGATGGGGACCAAAGCACTTTAGAGGAAGGGAGAACCTCCCCCTGCCCGGGGGAGCAGCAGGGTGTCTCAGGGAGGAGGAAGGTGCTCTGGGACAGGTGATAAGCAGCGTTGGAATCTTTGTATGATGGATTGAGGTCTTGGGTCACCAGTGCTGGCAGCGTGTCCCGGTGCCTGTCTGCAGGGGACATTACTCCATGTGGTAATTAGCTTTATTTCTGTGGTGGATTTAGCCAGAGAGATGAGTTCCACCTTCCTGATAGTTGAGTGAGTAGTTTTAATCGATCAGTGTTCAATAAGTGACCCTGATGGCCTGGCAGACATTTCTCATGGGGGCTGGGAGTTCTGCCTTCCCCTTTCACCCCGTGTCTCTGCAAGGCTTCAGCAACCCCAGCTCGGGGAGGTGACAGTCCCTCTTGGTGGCTTCCCCTAGGCTGTCTACAAGGCCTGGCTGTGCTCCGAGTACTTCAACGTGACCCAACAACAGTGCCGACAGCGGATCCCATGCAAGCAATACTGCCTGGAGGTGCAGACCAGGTGCCCCTTTGTGTTACCGGACAATGACGAGCTGATCTATGGAGGTTTGCCTGGCTTCATCTGTACGGGTAAGGAGGTCTGGGAGCGGGGCACAGGGCGGGTCACAAGCCACATGCTGGGTTTGGGAGGCTTGGGGCAGAGTGGAAGGAAGTGCAGTGTGGAAACGTGGCCATCCTGGGGGTGCAGCAGGAGGGGTTAATGGGGATACAGCGACATCTTAACGTGGGAAGTGAAAGTCCTTCCTCTGATTGAAAGCTAAAGCATGTAAGGGGCTGGAGGTGATGGATTAAAGCAGGGCTGGGACACTGAACCACTGTGAACAGGATTTGGGGAGACCTGAGCACTCCTTGCTCGTCTGTGCAGGCTCACAGTTGTTGGGGTCAGTCCTGGGGGGGTCTCTGGGTGTCCTGGTTCTCAGGTTCTGCCCACCCCACACCACCTGGCTCGCTCCCTCCACAGCCCCATCCTCAGTCTCCCACTGACCCCCTCCTCCTCCTCCTCTTCCTCCCTGTAGGGCTGCTGGAGAACCAGCTGCCCGACGAGGAGGCCAAGTGCTGCGAGGTGCAATGGGACTCCTGCGACCACCCCTCAGACAGCAACGACAACACATCCCCCAAATCCACGGCATCAGAGTCGCTCCATTTCCACCGCCACGACCCCCACGTCCATCACCAGCGGCAGAACCACTACCATCTCTACCACCACCACCAGTACCACCAGTACCACCAGCCCCGCTCCCCGTCCTTGCTGCCGGTCTCCGCAGGGTCTCGCCTCGGCAGCAGCAGGATCAGACTGTGCGTGCTGGTCCTGATGCTTCTCCACACCATGGTGTCCTTCTCGAGCGTGCACGGCGGCGGCGGCGCGGCCGGGGGGCTTGGCCTGGAGGCCCTGCCCGCCCTGGAGGAGAGCGTGGCACGGGACGAGTGACATGGAGGGCAGGGCCGACCTCCACGGAGAACACCAGATCTTTTTCCACTAAGGGGGGCACATGCTATTCCTCCAATGGGAGGCACGGGATTGGGGGTGACGCACACACACCCCCCAAGAGCTGCTCGCGCGGGGCATCCCCGTGATGAAGAGTCTCTAACGCGCACAGGGCTGCGGGACCCGGCGCTGAGAAGGGTTCGGTCAGTGGCAGCGGGGCAGCGCGGCATTCCCGGCACGGGCAGGGACAGCATGGGGGTGGGGGGATGGAGGGCAGGGGGTCCCTTGGGAAGGAGGGTCCCTGTGGGACTCCTGAGTGTCTCCCAGCTGCTGCCCCGAGTGCCTTGGGCGCCCGCGCCTTCCCTGCCCGCACCATGCCAGGGTTTGGTGGGTGGCCCAGCCCTCATTCCTTTTCTCCTCAGTCTGTGAATCCCAAGGGAGCAGGAGGAGGGGCAGCACCTCCTGGCACAGCCTTGCCCCCCACTCCTGTCCCAGGGAAAACCCACCAACTCAAGGCAGAACCACCCTCGTGGGGCGCAGCATCCTCATGTGGCATTGCCCTCGCTGAGGGGATTTGGGGCAGCAGTGGGATGCTGTGACACTTCACTGTGGTACCACTTGGGGTTGGTCTCATTGCATCCCAGCCTGCTCCTCCAGCCTTGCCTTTCCTGCTCCTCTGTGTGAGGAGGTGGAGAGGGAGGAGGCACAGAGCAGGAGGGATATCCCCAGCATTCCCACATCCCACTTTGCCAAGTGTCCTGATGATTTGGTGTAACCTTTTTTGTTGTCCTTTTTGACTGGTTTCTGTGAGGAGTTAGGGAGATGTGACTCCAGCAGCACAGGCTAAGGCAGGGAGTAACAGCTGGATGCAGGGCATCCCAAAGGCATCCTTCCATGCTTCCCAGCTACAAATCATCAACTGGATGGCAGGAGGACTGGGCAAAAGAGCTGGAGAAACCTGGTTTGTAGAGAGAGTCTCCCACACAAAAAAAAGAGACACTAACAAAGCCCAACTGGGGAGGAGAGTTTTTGTGAATACTTCCTATCCATGGATACCCCCAGATCAGGAAATTTCTGGGAGCCCAGCTGGGACAGCTGGACTCAGCTGGGCAAGGTGCTGGCTAGTGCAGTCTCATTCAACTCACTTGGGGTGTTTTTAATCTGAGCTCAGTGTATCCAGGGATTCAGCCCCAAACAGACATCAGATCCCTAGGATCTGATCCCCAGATCATTTCCTAGGAAATTCCCAGTTCTCCACCCACCCACCAGAGCTGTTCCCAGTTTGCATACTGTGAAGTGGTGCCTGGGGAATGGCACTGCCCCTCTGGGCTGGGCAACAGGGACCAGGGTTTGTCCTGGGGTGGGCAGGGAAGAAGGAGGGGGCATTTTAGCATGAGGTCATGGTTTGGATGTGGACCTGCTTTTTGCTCCAAGAAAAGGTGGGATGCTCCCTCTCTTTCCAGGCTGGCTCTTGATGGGGAACCTAAAGCCCTGGGTGGATTGCTGCAGCCCGACTGGGAGGCAGGAGTGGAGTAGGAGGAATGTTTGAACCAACCCCAAATACCTGCAAGGGTCTGAGAAGTCCCAGTGTTGAGGACTGTAGGAATTTTGTGGTTTCTGGTCCGTTGAGTTGAAGCAAAACCAAGCAGAGCCCCATGAGCAAAGCTACTTCCTGCCCAGCTGGAAGAAGGAAGTACCGGGCATCTCGTGGGAAGGACAGGTTTCCTGACATCTCCAGCCCATTTCCAGACCAAAGAGGCTCTGAGAAGCAGCTGAATGTTTGATTCCTGCTTTGACTTGAATCTCAAGAGCTTTGGGGTGATGTTTACACGCTACCAGTTGCCTGTTAACCAAAGTCCTGCAGAGACGAGGCCTGTGATCCCACTGTCCCGTGGTTCTGGGGGTGGGAGAGGTGACGCTCATGGAAAATGTAGAGTGTTTCCCGAACAGATTCCTTTCTGTTGCTATCCAGAAAAGGTAGGATGATTCTCACTTTACTACTCCTCATGGCATCCTTATATTTTCAGCCTAGTTTACACCGATCGGAGAACTTGGACATGGAGCAGTTCCACAAAGAGGGATCCGAGCCCTCGGATTGCCGTGAGCGGTGTCCTGTGGAGCTGCTCTGACGAGGAGCAAAAGCTCCCAGGCAGGCCAGGGGAGGGAGCACAGCCCCATCCCTGCCTCCAGACAGCCTCATCCTGGAGGAAATTAGATTTCTCGTGTCCTGCCAAGAGTTAAGCTGATTCCAGGCGCCTCTCTCGGAGATAGGCTCCGTCCAATCTCGGAGTGACTCGTGTGGAGAGAGAACAGCCCCGTGTGGTGTGTCAGAGTGGCCCTGACTCACTGGCCCTGCTCACTGTGTGCTGGGACACTGAGCAGCGCCGGGAGCGCGGGGTGGCCCCGGCTCGGTCCCTGCACCACGTCCAGATCCCAGATCTGGCCCAGGGACTGTCCCGAGGGATGTGTGTCCTTCTCCCTGCCCCTTCTCCCCTGTGCCCTGCTGGCGATGGAGCGCCCAGCTGGGCTCGGGGGCTTCTAGGGGCACCAAGGTTTGGTGATGGGTATTTGGGTTTCCCAGAGAAGCTGTGGCTGCCCCATCCCTGGAAGTGTTCAGGTTGGAGCAACCTGGGATAGTGGAAGGTGTCCCTGCCCATGGCAGGGAGTGGAACAAGATGAGCTTTAAGGTCCCTTCCAACCAAACCATTCTATGATTCCATGATTTCCACAGGGCTGCAGGAGTGAGGTCCAATATCCCAAGTTATCATCAGGGGGCTGGCAGGTTTTTGCTGGGATAACCTGAGAGCTGTGAGAAATGTCTTCCCCTTCCCTAACGTGAGCTGAAGGCTTCCCCTTGGGAGCCGGGAGCACGCGCTGCATCCCAGTGAGTCGGGGAGCAGAACCAGTTCTGCACTGGGGTGCTTGTGGTGGTTACTGGGGGGATGTTCAGCCCCATCCGTCGGGCCTGAGGGACTCTGCAAGGCAGAGTAGGAGAAAAATATGTAGGAGACCCACATATTTTCCAGGCAGTGGCTCCCAGGAGGTGTTCCCACAGGGATGAGGTGCCGTGGGTGGGCAGCGGGAGCGCGCAGGATGCAGAGCCCGGGCTGGGGCTTTACCTTGTGCGACTGGGAGGAAAGTGCTGAGTCTTCACAGAGTGAGGCTTTGGAAGGAGATCTTTTATTTAGCGAGTCTGGGCTGCTGTCAATAAGTTCTGTGGTTTTAGGGCACCATATGCTGTATTCAACACTTTGCCAATCTCCTTAAACGGATCCAGACGAGGCTGTTCCCGGAGCAGGCCGGAGCAGCTGGAAGTGGTGTATGGAGCCCGTCGGATAAAAATCCTCCCTTTGCTCTGACATTACAACCTTCCTAATCCTCCATCCCTGATCGCTCTGTCTTTGCTCCGCAAGAGAACTGCCCAGAGAGCAGACAGTGACATTGTCTCACTTCATCCCACCGGCATTGCATTTATTACAATAGGAGGGGATAAAAAGGGAATGTGCCTGGATTAGGAGGGAATGTGCCTGGCTAAGCAGGGAATGAGGTTCTTTGCCCTGTGCAGGCAGGTACACTTCACCCCAAGCCCAGTGTCCGCCAGACCAGGGGCCATTGCAGAGCCACATTCCCACAGCCACCTTGGAAAGCCCCAGGTCTGAATGCATTTATCCCACCAGAAATTTTAACACCAAGGGGCTTTCTTTTTTCATCCAATGATCCTATCTCTTCTCCCTTAAGAAGGTGCCCCACATTGGGATTAAGATGTAACACTCAACCTTTCTTTCAGTGGATAAACTTCTACTGGGAGAAAACTCCCAGGGGGAAGCAGTGATTCCTCCCTGGTGAGGGGGTTTCTCATCCCTGGGGAGCTGAGGGATGATGATGTCCCTGCAGGATCCAGGTGTGGCAGGGCTGCAGGAGCAAAAGGAGCCGGGTCCTGCCCGGCCACATCGTTATTCCCGGGTTTTGCACTTTCATGTCGCTGCCAGTTGTACAAATTAATTAAAAATAACTGAAGAAAAATCCCAAAGAAAGGCCCCTATTCCTCTGGGAAAGATTAATCATTGGTTGAGCCTTTTTCTTATGAAAATACAGATCCATGGTAGCCCCAGGCAAAAGATTCCCAGGGAGAGCCCTCACCATTCGTGCTCCGAGTGAGGGAAATCGCTTTGAAAGCATCTGACAACTAAAGCAGAACATGTTGAGTAACTTGGCAACACTCAGAAAACATCTTGAAATGGTTTTTGTTCAACACATTTTGCTTTGCTTCAATAGGAGATGTCAGGGCAGTTCACTCACTGCCACTCAGGACTGCAGGCGATGCCGGGAGACACTCCTGCCTTTGGGAAGGGAAAATCCCTGATATCTGCTGCTCCTGGGGCAGGATCTGCTGGAGCAATGCCATGGAGCTTCCCTTGCTGAGCTCTGCAGGTCCCTCCAGTTCTTCTGGTGGCACCAAGTGTGGAGGTTTGGTGATGGATATTTGGGTTTCCCAGAGAAGCTGTGGCTGCCCCATTCTTGGAAGTGCTCAAGGCCAGGTTGGACAGGGCTTGGAGCAGCCTGGGGTAGTGGAAGCTGCCCCTGCCCATGGCAGGGGTTGGAACTAGATGGTCTTGAAGGTCCCTTCCAACCCAAACCTTTCTGCGATTCCATGATTTCCACAGAGCCGTGCGGTGAGGTCCAATAGCCCAAGTTACCTTCAGCTTCTGATTCATCCTAATCCCATACCCTGGAAAGAAATGTCTGTAGGGATTGGGAGAGACAAAGTCGGGACAGAAACATTCTTGGATTCTGCTAGAATGTGATGGGACGGGGAATTTTGTGTATCAGCTTTGTGTGCTGCCCTGAGGCTTCCCATCCCTGGGGGTTAAATCTCTCTTAAATTTTTCTGGAAAAGTTGGGAAGGGCCATGTCTGGTGTTCAGGTTGGATGTTAATGGTCTACTTCAGGCCATCAAAGCTCATGGGCATCCCAGCTGGAAGTACCAACATCACACAACCCCAAACTCACCCCTTTTCCCCCCAAAAGGAGCCTACTTAGAGCTCCCAGGTCAGAGCAGCTCAGGGGTTGCACAGCTTCAACCATAAGTCCATTCCAAGGAATTGAGGGGGTTTGGCAGCAATTTTTGGGTATTCTTGGTCCAGGTGGCTCTTTAGGTGATTTTCCAGCCTGCACTGGGAGGGAGGAAGGGAGCAGAGGGAATGCTGTGGTAGAGGATAAACC